CGGCTAACTAGATCGAATCACCTCGATCGTGGGAAAAATGTGGAACGCCTTTCCCTATTTTTTTCTTTCCTTTTTTCTTTTCTTTCTCTCTCTCTTTGCTCTCTGAGAGAAATCTTGGAAACGCGGCCTCGATTGTCGTCGAACGCGACAAACGACGCTCAATATTTCTCTGGAGGGAGAAAAGAAAAGAAAAAAAAGCTGCTCGCCAATTAAAATCGCTCCCCGACTTAAATTCGCGCGGACAAAAAACTCGTGATCGAGTTATATCCGCGTTAAAAAAGTGTACGGCCAAGTGTTTAACGCGCTAATGAAAAACAATTTGAAGCGTTAAATTGCAATTTTTTTAAACAATCCCCGTCGAGAAAGGGAGAGGAAGGATTACTGCGATGATTCGTTGTTTCTTCCCCTTTCTCTCTAGGAAATCTCATTTCCTCGCATTTCGATGGAAACGTATTTATAATTATAATCACCGTATTTTCCCCCAACCAAAAGATTCCCATTCTGCTTCTTCAAGAGCGAACAAATTTCGAGCAATCGGTTCTCGATCAATCGGTTCGAAACGATTTTCCGGAATCGGAAGGAAACGGAGCACGAAGGTCGAGGCAATTTTACGAGCGCTGATTCATTTATTACTCTTTGCTCGAGTAGCCATCGGTGCGTGGATCGTGGAGGAGAGGGGGCGGAGGGGTCTGGAAAATGTTTTATCGCCGATATTGTTGGCCCAAGATAAAAAGCGGAAGAAAGAGGGGTGGGAGGAAGGGGGCAGCAGCTCGCTCCTCCGCGATATTCCCGCTATCCCTCCCTTCGCCCCTCTTTTCGAGGCATCGCGTGTGCGCCCTGCTTTATTGCTCGTAAATAGAAAGAAACGGAGGGAAAAAGGACAAAGGGGTTGGTGGGGGATGAGGTGAGGTCTCGACCCGTGGCTGCATCCCCGCGCCTTATTGCTTCTCGAGGGGAGCGGTCGTGCGCTACGTTTAAAAATCTATCGCGAGAAGAGATGTATCGCTCCTCCGCGTGTATATTCGTTGGCCGACACGACTAAGTTGCACGTCACACGTACGAGGAGAATACGATGGGATGCGTAACAGGAAAGCAATAAAGAGATAAATATCTTGGTTCAGTTTTCTAGGATCCTTCCTCGTTTCTCTCTCTACGACGGGGAATCACGTTTTTCTTTTTCCTTTCCTTCCACGATTCTAACGAATGTCCATCGTGATTGTTGCAGCTTATGGTAATTTGGGCAGCGTGCTGAGCGCCCAGGGACGCGTGGCGGAGGCGGAGGAGGCGTTCGTCCAGGCGCTTCGTTATCGACCGAACATGGCGGACGTGCACTACAATCTGTAAGTACAGCCACGTGCATTCCGAATAATCCACTTTGCTATTTCTCCCTCTCTCTCTCTTTCTCATCGATAATAGCCATCTCATCGCTCCACGACGCGATAAACAAATCGGATCACCGGACGGATAGTTTATCTAAAAATCCTCCCCTCCCTCCACTTTGATCTTCGCTTCGAAACAACGAGCGGTTTATCCGGTTTCGCCCTGTTTAATAATAAATACATATTACAAAAGCGTATTTTCCAAAGCTTGGAGAAGTTGGACAAAGAGAGTTTCATTATAGGAAAACTCTCGGCGGAAATCCAAAACTCTCCATACAGCTTCGTATATATATATATATATTTCGTCATCCAAGATTTATGAGACGCCATGCAATGGCGGAAACTTCTCCCCCCTCCTTTTCTTTCTCCCCTTGTCCTTCCAGTAGCTACGTGTCGCGAATCCCCGCCCCGCCCCC